AACTGCAGAAATAAAAAAATAAAAGCCACCGAGTTCATGCTTTGAACTTCACTAGGATTAGCCACACAAGAGCAAATTCCAGGAAGAGAAGGTAATCAAAATGCAGGCAAGCAATTAGATCTGCATATTAAGTATGAAAATACACAGTGCTGGGTTGCATATTAAGTAAGTGCAGTAACCTTGTGCTTCTGGAGCTGCTCAATGAGGTTACTGTGCAAAGGAGCTCAGAGGACTCACCTCCTGAGGGGAAAATTGCTTTTCTTTGACTATAACCATGGACATGGTGCTGAAAATGCATTTTGTGCTAGATCTTATCACAGAGGGGCTGGGGACAGTGGGCAGCAGGGAGCCCTGCCCAGCCTGGGGAAAGCCAGCCATGTGTGGTGGGCACCTGTGGGGCTGGGGCAGGGCCAGGAGAGGTTCAGGGGCTCAGGTCTGGGGGCTGCCAGCCAGCCAGAGAGATTCCTGAGCCAGGGCCTTGCAGGGGGTTGCAGGGCAGAAGCTCACACCATGCTTGACTCACACTGCTCTGAGCAGCAGCCAGAGAATTGTCAGATTTCTATTATTGTAGTGGGCTTTTGGAGTAGAAGGAGCCTATTCTAATTCTGAAAACCTTCCTGAACACACTTCATTCAATCAAGTAATTATTATTAGGTTTTTTTCCTTCTCTCTAAAACTGAAGACTGAGATTTCCAAGAGCATGTGCATTGCATTGGGCCCTCCCTGCTGCTCCTCCCTGGCAGTGACCACAGGGCTGGGAAAAGATCTGACCCAGCTGTTTGCTGTTCAGCACTGCCAGCACAATTCATGGGTGCCCAAGGTTCCTCAATCACAAGGTTTCAGCATGGAGCGGCTGCCCTGTGCCCACCTCCTGCTCCTGGAGGTCTCTCTGTGCCCCCTCAGTAAAAGCCAGATGGGGATAACCCCCATAGAAGAGGCTTAGATTGTCTGAGGTTTCTAAATGCCTCTGCTGGGTAGGACTCAAAGGCAAGCCATGAACACCTGGCTTTGTTTCTAAAATCCTTTGGACTTCCAAGGGAGATTTTTCCTCACCTTCTCAAGGAAGTTCATTGGCCTGTAGTGAGAAAGATGAGCACAACACAAGTCTGAGGTCACCTGACAGTTTATGTGACATGGCACACATAGAATAAAATAAATGTCTGTCCTTAATTTTTATGTGTGCCTCTAATCCTTCCATTGATAAAAGTCTCTTGAAGATGAGGCAACTCATTCAAAGTGGTGAGTTTTCTTTGTTTCTTTCTTCAAGGAGCTTCATATAGTGGGAGGGCAATAAAGTAATAAGCAGATGGGGAGAATTATCACCTCCAAGGCAAGAAAATTAATATTTCAGGGGCCAGGCAAAATCATTTTGGATGAGCATCAAACATACAACACAGCCAAGATATTTTATTGTTCTCTTTCCCCCCATCTAAAATAGCACGTTTGAGAAACTGTCCCTTTAAAACTACTCTTAAGTGTCCCACTTCACCAAGCTGGAATTTGCAGTGTTTATCAGCCCTGTGTGTTGGTGTGGGTGTCAGAAATATGCAGGTGATGTCATTTTCCATTCCCTCACCCAGGGTTTAATTGACAATATCATTCCACACCCCTCCTCCCACCCTTCTTCCACCTCTTCAGTTTAAACCTTGTTCTCCCAGGCCTTTTGGGCCAACACTCTTCAAAAATGTGTTACCTTCATCATTTCAAGTTTTCTCTAAGGCAGGGAATTTTCATGACTTCATTTCTACATCGTTCCTGGTATGGAGATGAAAGAAATGTCCAATATGCATTTACCGTAGTAATCCTATCCAGCAATAATTTCTTTGGCACACAAAATAAGGAGAGAGCTCATTATTGATCATAGCATGTGGCCATTAGTATACTTTGAATTATGAAGATTTGTTGCCTTCATTTTATTGTCTTTTTAATAAACAAAACATATGCCTTCTGAATTATCTCTTCTGCATAGAATTTGGTGTTGGAATATCTATTTTTATACAGCCATATTAAATAAATCATAGCAATAGGTCCTTGGGTGAAGTATTTTATGATACCTTTAATCAATTCAGCAAAGATTCCAAAGTAAACAGCAAAGGTTTTCCCTTTCTTCCCCACAGTGGGATAAATCATTACTAGAAGAAGTGCAAGTTTAGAAAAGAAGTGGTTGGAAGACATGGAAAAAAAAGGCAAGAACTTAATTGCATTGAGAGAGAAAAGGTCTCAGTGGTCTGGCTCCTCTCTTTTCAAAGGATCCTTCTGCTCCTGGCATCCGAGGAGCTCTTTGGGACAAAAGCCCCAGGAGCAGCAATGACCCATGGACTCCACATGGACAAGTGTCCTTGGGACTGTGCTGGGAACCAAAAGTCAAGCTGTGAGGCAAAGCTCTTCCTCTGCCTTCTCCTCCCCCACAGGAATGGGAACATTGATGCATTCAGCACTTGCTTCTTGTCCCCAGCTTCCTCTGACTCATACATGGGCATGCAAACAAAACCACCTCCACACTCCAGTGGAGCTGTGCCTGGGAGGGAACAGGTAATACCCAAGGCACTGGAGCAACTTGAGGCCATAAGCCTGTCCTTTCAAAAGCCAGGCTTTCAGACTCCTGAAGCTGCCAGACAAAGCCACAGCCCAGCCTGTTGTCCCACATCTTAGTACCTCCCTCATTATGGTTACAGGTATGTCTGGGATTACTTACTGAGTCAATTAACGAGCTAAAGTAAAAGTGTGAGTGAGAGTGCAATTCAGAGGGTGAAAGGCTGTATTGAAAGACATCTGGTGATAATTAAGTTTAACTGTACAATTTTATCTGGCCAAACATAATTACTTACAACTAAATGTATGTCAGTGCAGCTGATTGACACATACACTGTATAACCATGGCAGGCAGAGGACAAGGCTTAGGTCAATTGCAGGAAAAAGTAACAAAAAGCATCCTTACAGGAAAGGAGGGAAAAGAAAAAAAAAAAGAAAAATTGGCAATTAACTTCACACAGAGTTTAAGACCCGTTTTTCAGAAAAGGTATATCCCAACCTAGAGCTAGATTTTCCTTTATTTTCTTCTGAACTGATTCTTTTGTCAGATTAAATGCAGGTGTAATACACAGTTGTAGTGATTACAGTACAGTCCTTTATTGTGGTTAAGGCTATAAGTGGAAAGAGTCACTGAAAGAAGGCAAGAAAATGGTGGGTTCAGTGTGAGCATGACAGGAGTTAATAGACGTGTCTGATGGAATCCACAGGAGCTGGTGATTTGCCAGTGTTAAACAAATGCTGAAGCTGGCTAGATTTTGTCTAGAAGTGCTACCTATATGTCCTGCTTCACAAGACAAGTCTCCAAACAACGAAAAAACAAATCTCCTTGAAATGTGGTTTGAATTGACATTGAGATAAGCTCAACTGGTTTGAGCCTGGTGCTAATAATGCCAAGGTTGTGGATTCAACCCCTCTATGGGACACGCACTTTAGAGCTGGACTAGCAGGTCCTTATGGGTCTCTTGCAGCTCAGAATATTCAGTGATTTTGTGAAAAATGTTTGTAACCACTGCTACTTTCATCGTCTTATCACTCCCTGTATGTACTGCTGTACTGATCTATTTCTCCAGGATGGTTTGCAGCTGTGCAGCCCTGTGTTTGTGGGTGTCTGGCACAAAGAAACCTGAAGACTTGCTCCAGAATTCATCAGGTATTGAAGAAAGGAAATTCTTAACTGAAAATTGCTTTTCACTTCATTTTTCCTTGCCAGGAAAGGCTGACTTCCCACAGGCGCCGTAATTCACCACAGGCCCTACAAGGACGCCAGTTTTACTGAAAATTCAATCTCTTTACTACAATAGAAGGCCAGCTGAGCTGCCATCCGCAGCAGCACTCAACTAACCCACTGCCAATAGTGTGTGATTCATTGATTATTATCAAATGAACTTTCACTTTTAACTTCAGAAAAGAATTAGACAGAGATGAAACTCACTGTAAGGGCAGCTGAGCAGACTTAGTTGTAACGATGAAAAGGAATGATTACAAATCTCAGCTGCACCAAGAAACACTTGGGCCTGTGCTGCTTTTACTTAAATATTATTTACGCTTCTGTAATTTTGGTTACAGCATATCTCAACATAAGGTGCCATATGGCAGTAGAGGAGTGGGTGCTAATAGGAGCACATGGGAGACAACTGTGTCTCTGTGTACCCCCTTCCCAGCCATCCCAGGAGCACTCTGAGTTGAGACTTCAGCCTGGAGGCAACTGAAGTTTGCTCAAGACTTTTCCTGGTTTCCACTCAGGTGTTTGCGTGGCCATCTGACACATTAATAAATTAATGTGCATTAAAATTATTCCCAGCCTGTGTTTTTCAGGAAGATGCATCACCAGGATGCTTTGTGGTACCGTTGATCACTGCAGAGCACCTGGAGGATTTGGGATTTTAAGGCAAGGAGGTAAGGAGGCCTGCCTACACTCAGCTCCTCAGCCCTGTTTAGGTGACACAGCCACAAACCTGGGCTGCTGGAAGTGCACCTTGGCAAGGCAGCTGAGCATGGGAAAGGCTGGGACACACTCCTGTCCCTCCCTGCAGCACAGCAGCAGCTGGGCTGACGCTGCCAGCACTGGCCTTTGCTGCTGTTTGGTTTCCCATTTCAGTCAGCTTAGTGGCTGTGCCCAAGCTTTGCTTTCTACTCCTCAGATCCTGCCAGGTACTGCTCACCTGTGTGTACCTGAAATACTCCACGCATGAGCCTAAGGTGAGCTCTGTGACCTCTGTGTTTGCCATGGCTTGAAACCATCCATTAAAAATGTTGATCCTGCTGGAGGCTTAACTGGGTGTCTTCCACACACACACAAATGATGAAAATATTTCACCATTTTTCAAGGAAGGAAGAGTTCAAAATGGAGATAAATCAACATCCAATGGAAGGGATATTGATTCATTTCCTCACCTTTGGAATGAATACCTCCCCCCAGCAAAAAGCTATGAAAGGGAAGACATGGTTCATCTGAAACAAACAAGGCTCAATAAATCTTAATCCTGCTTAAAGATAGTTCTGAGAAGAGATCAGAAAAATACAGCTTAGCATTCCTACAACCAAACATGACACTACCTTTCTCTTTTATCATTGGATTTACTACTTGGGCTGTGTTTTTAGTGAAAAATTACTTAAATGTGTAACAAAATTCTCATTTTATTAGCAAAACTGTATTCATATTGTTCCATTTGTTCTATTTAACCAGGGGAGTTCCACATTAGTCTCACTGAATATCTGGCTGTGACCTATGGCAGTACCAGAAGTCAGGGAGTGCTTTAAGAGCTTCCTGCAGAGTATCTCTGGCCCAAGCAGTCTGGAAGGGCTGTAAACCACAAAGTACTGAACTTGTTCTGCTGCAGACCAAGGCCTGTCTCAGGTGCTTAGTGCTGAGGGAATGTGTCAGTAACTCCCAGGTTTGGGCCTCTAGTTCATGCTGGACATATTTCCTCTGAATATTTCATGCAGCCCTTTTAAAATGTATTCACTTTGCACAAATTCCTCTTGTATTTGCTTCCCATGAATATTTATGGAGGTGGCAGCGCTTCTGTGCAGAATCTGCATGGGAGGTATTTTAAATGACTCTCTGGGCCAGTCACACTGGCACTACACTTGTCCCTCACTCCCCATCAGGCCAGGGCATGAGGGGCCTGTGGGAGCACCACAGCTCGTGGGGGAGCTGGGAGCCTCCTTGGGCAGCAGAAGTTTCTTGTCAAATGCACATAAATGTTCTTAACAACTCCACGTGCCCTGGCAGGCAGCGCCAAGCCTGCCCTTCTGCAGCATCAGTATGGAATGACAAAGGAATGGCATCTAGAACCTTTGCAATCAGACGTGAGCTGGGGTTGGGTGTGTTGGGAGCTGCCCCAACAAGAGCCTTAGAAGCTTTCTTCTGTAACTGCTTTAAGACAATAGCAATGCAAAACTATCTCAACTGTGCTCAGGTTGACACACAGAAATAGTGGTGTTCAGTAACCCACAGTAATTATTTTCTTGCTGCTACTCAGTCCATCTTATCCAGGAAACCTCCTTCCAAATGGGCAATTATGGAATGACCTGTGTGGGAAAAATTGCTTTTTATATCAAGTCAAATATCTGTAGAATATGATGGCATCTATTTTTCTATATATGTCATATATGTAAATATCTGTGTGTGCGTAGGATTTGTATATTTTATAAATACAAAAATAACATGCTTTATTTGTGCATCTATTTTTGAAATATGCATTTTAGACATATAGTTCAACATCTACACTCTATAAAAATATACACACATAAAATCATATTGAGATTACATAATTTTAGCTAATATACCTATGGAGTTTCTTATCATTCACCTCAAATTCCTTTCTTTTTTTTCTCTCCTATATCTTTGTTACCTGTGACCAGAAAGAAGTTTGGTGTTAATTTATTAAGTCTGCATTTGATTACATTACATTAAAATGTTGTTTTATATATACAAATACATCAGAATATTCTGTGACATATGCTACATAACATATATTACAAGTAGCATTCTGTAAATTGTTATGTTATAGTGTGTAACATGTGACCTGTAATATGCATCATATAATGTGATGTTCATAATGTATAATCAGTGCAAGCTTCACAACTTCTGTTACCTACCATAATTAAATCATGTTTTATTTTTTAAAATCTTGCTAAAGAAGACCTTTCTGAGAACAAGTATGCCATTAATTACTTTGTCCAACAGGAGCTTGTTCTGTCTGATTTATCTCATCCATGACAAACAGATACGATCATTTCACATTCTCTCCTTATGAAAGTTTTCCTACAGAACCAATAATTTTATTTCCGTTTCTGCTCTTCACATTTTTGAGATGCAGCCAGCAGAACACACTGTCAAGGGTGAAGGACCACTGATTTCTGAAATGACACTCTGAACTTTTTCTATTAATCTGTATTCCCCGTTTTAGCTGTTATTACTCTGGTTGCCATCCCACCACCCTGGTGCGCTGAGTAAAATTGTTTATGACTCCAGGCCCAGTTCCTCAGTGGTCACAGATAATTGAGATACAAACAGGAGATGGCCACAGAAGTGTTTCCTGGCTGGTGTTGCTCAGGATGAAGCACTGAATATCTGATTGCCCAACACACTGGGGTTATATTTTTTTATTGTTCATTTCAGCCTGCTTAAGTGGCAATTGATTTGAAATAAAGAGGGTTGGGTTTTTTTGTTTTTTTTTTTTGTGCTGCATATTTCATAAGCTTTTGTGTGATATGCTGTTTCCAAACTTGATAAAACACCAGTAACCTCAATAAGATACTCCTGCCCCTCTCTGTGGATTCCATCAAGGTTTAGGTGAAAATTCCATCTTGTTCCTCCCATCCAGTGAGGTGCCAAGACCACCAAGGTCTCAGGTGGGAGGGACAGACCCTGTGTGTCTCTGGCACAGAGGCACTGAGAGGTTTCTCTCCTCAGCTCCCAGGCAGAGGCCAAGGGACCTGACAGCACTTGAAATTTCCTATTACTGGCACACAGGGGGCAAAGGAAGCAATGGCAACAGCTCCAAAGCTGCATTTGCTGACCACGATGGCGAAATGAAGCCACTGCTTCTTAGTGAGGTTAGTGCTGAAGTAACAATATTCAAGTAAGGGACCTCAGCATTTACACCTTCCCTGCAACTGATGCCAAAACCCGTCTTTAGCAGTGCCAGGGACAGGCTTTACCCATCCTGCTCATAAACTAATGGACCTACAGAGTGTTTTCATGAAGGAAATCTGCTAATTTGGTTCAGTTGCCCACTTCAGTCTCACAGCACCTCACTTTGGCTGTATGACTCAAGGACCCATCCCTCTGTGTTGTGGGGGTTATTTCTCTGCAAATGAGGTGTTGTGTATAAATTTATATGCTGCAAAGAGAGAAAAAAATCAAATAATGGTTAAAAAGCAAAAAACAAGGAAAAAGACCCCTCAATCAATCAAGTGCTAGACTTATTTACATTCCTCAGTGATGCCTAGCAGGGAAGTTGTCTATGGTTTGAAACTAAAAGATCTTTCAAAAAATCACAGGCACATTCTAAGTCCTTGATTCCAACTCCCTTCTTAGCTTCCATGATTTTAGGCACAGCAAATGTTTTGGTATTCAGTGCTGAGGAGGAGCTAAGGCACCCCTTCAGTCAGGGTAAGTATTCTAAATGAACCACTGCTTCTTTACAGCTCCATCCTGCTGGCCACCTGCTGGAGGACACAGGTGGCAAAAAACAAACTTCCATTTTCTGCACTTCAGGCTGGCACACTTTTTCCTATTGTTCATTTTAGAGAGGCCATTTTTATTGCGGGTGTGTGTTTGTTTGGTTTTTTTTTTTTGGTTTTGGTTTTTTCTTTTTGTTGACCTTTACATTACTGTCAGTTGGAATACTAATGGACATGAACATAAACATCATCTCCAGGGCTGTTCAATGAAACTAAGGCAGATTGTCTTGAAATTAGCTTGAGTCATATCTGAAAATTGCCAGTGATTAGCTGATTATAGTTTGAATTGAAGTCAGATTGCTACAAAAAGCCACAAAAAGTCATCCGCAGATATATTCTAGTAAATGATGCCTCGGATGCCTCAGTTGTTGCCAGTGCTTGCATTAGGGATGAAGGTCTATTACTACATCACATTTATGGTAGTCATTTTAAAATGTGGATTCTGCCTGAGGAGAATCAGTCTCCTGGGGAAAATTCTGTCTTTTTACTTTTTAACCTACTCACTAAGAATAATAAAAAAATTAAAAAGAAAAATTTAAAAAAAGGAGATGTCACAAACAGCAGAACAAATTAAAATATTCTCCCTATGAGAGAAGCTTGTTCCTCTGTAAATACAATTATTATAATTATAGAGTGATTCAATCCTGGTGTCTTACTAGAAATCATTTCTTCTGTACTGAGAGTATGTGACATTTAAAATAATTTTCAATAAATCAAAGGCCTAGTGTTAACAATGCTGATAGATGCCAGGTTTATTAAGGAAAACAGAAGGTATTATTTTGCCATAATTATAAAGTTCAATGAGCACTTCTGGTTTGATTAAATTCTCCACATTTTAGGACTTTGATGCAAAAAAGTTCGGACTTTGTCAGTTTTCCTGTCCAAAACTACTAAGATATTAATTTATCACATATGTGTCCGCATTCCTCAGATTTGAAATAAATTCAATTCCCTTTCATGAAAATAAGCAAGTCCTTTATTTCAAAAGTTTTGAGCTGTGTCTCTGCATGGTTTATAGGCTGCTCTGCCCTTCAGCACCTCATATTTTTTTAGTTCCCAGAGAAAATTCCCTTACAATCTTTACCTGTGAAAATATATTTGAGCTCCAGTCCGTGTTGCATTACCAAGCATATTGCACAGGGAAATACTCAAATAGTATCTACAAGGCAGGAGTCATATTTAATTCCCATAAAAGTGGGCAACGGGATACTGCTGTGCCATTTCTAGCAGGTTTTTGATTTAAAAGACTCAAAATCGGTTCTCATTTCTTTTTAGTGCATATTTGACTTCCCACCAGAAAAATAAATTCTTACTTGGTATCTCTGATGATGTGGGAGAATGATAATGAGGTTCTGTGCTGGAAGCACTAACCTGGGGTGGGGATTGGGGAAATAACAAAGACACTGTCACAGCTGTCAGTGGTGGAAGCCATGGTGGGACCAACAGCTGCACGCCAATGGCTCAGATCCAGAGGAAAAGGAAAAGGGCCTCGGCAGCCAGCCCTGCCCCAAACCCTGCCCTGTGCCAGGCAGCACTGGGGACACAGCAGGTGGCTCAGTGGCTGTCACCCACCGCAGCAGCGGGGTGTCTGCACACCTGCCACATGCACAGCTCTGACACTGCCCAGGAAACAGAAACTGGAATGTCCCAAACTGGAAAATGCCAGGCTCCGTGTCAGGCTGAATTCTTACAAGTTCCAGGCCAGATCGTGAAGAACAGGCTCAAAGGGAGGGGGTGACAACTGCTCATGTCACTAAATGCTGTTCTCAAAGGGCAGGGGCACATGTTCAGGACCACAGAGAGAACCACAGACTTGGTGACTCCTAAATGATTAAAAGACAATTATTTTTCAAATATAAAAGAGAATGGCTGAGGAAACTCAGTGGCAGAAACGAACATGGGAAATTCTTAACCTAAGCCCCCAGATATCTTTTCCCATGAAAAGGCTGCCTCTGTAAGCTCTGTAATGACCAGGAAAAGCCATACCTTGGAGCCAGCTTTAGGGCAGCTTCAGCACAGGGCTAAGAGTCAAACAACAACAGAATAAAGGAAAACTGACATGAGCAATCCTGTGCTGAGCACAGAGCACAAAGGCAAGCAATCATTAGGAAATACATAAATCTCTGCTTCACTTACATTAAGATTGCCACTTGCTGCGCTGCTTTTCTCCTTCTTTACCATCTCACAAAAGGGTGTAAAGAAGCAAAACATGGTTCAAAGGATGAGCAGTTATCAATCAGCTTCTCCTTGATGGACTGAGTTAACAAGACCACTCGTGGCTGAACAGGACTTGGAATAGGATGATAAAATCTGGGCCTTGGGCAAGGTGTGTGTCAGGATCAGTCATCCCTATCTCTAGAGCAGTGGTTAAGAAAAATAGAAGAATATAAGCAAATGATTGCCAGTTTCAAAACAAACAAAAGTAAGTATTTCTTCTCCTGGTGTGGTGAATTTACACCGAGAAAAAGCTCTGCTTTTCAAAGGCTGCAGATAAAAGGCTACAGAGAGTCAAAAGCAAACAAGACACAGCCATGGGGAAAAACAAAAACTACGGAGGACACAGAAGCCAAAAGATTGCAGGTGTGGCTGAGAAATTAGCTGCCATAAATCCTTAATGGATGGTAGAGTTCTCTGGGGACATCAGTCTGTCCTCGCCTTGTTCCTGAGCTCATACTCAGGTGTCTGCTGGAGATCTGATGAGGTACATGGGCTAATGCAGCCTGGCCAGCAAATCAAAGGGCTTGAAAATTATTCAGGTTGTTCTTACTACTAAAGTCTGCTAGCATGGAATCTATACTTGATGATACAAGATTTGAGAAGAAATATGTGATGTCTGTGCTGTTAAAAGCACAAGGTGGACTTCCTAAAAAATTTAATAAATATGTTCATGCTACTTAATATCTAAAACAGAATTCTAACCTTAATTATGCAGCATGTATTGCCTCTCTGTCTGCTTGCAAACAAGAATGACTAATTATTTAGGCTTTATGAATAATTAAAATTATTAGAATCTCTCACAGTATATTCATGAAAATGTGACTGTCCTGCAGAAGAGATTATTTCTAAAATAATTGGGTTTTTTTCTTCATGCTCTCAAAAGTTTTAAGGTGCATGTAAGAGACACCCCAAAAACCCCAAATCAGAAAACCTGTATCTAGAATGTAGGCATCTGTCTTTTGAAAAGCCAAAGGCTTGCAACAAAGACAAATCTGACATTCCCAGCCCTTTCTGTTCAGCACCACGGTGGCAATAAACTGGTACTCAATTTTATTAGTTCTTCATTTAAAATTTAAGTTCTTGCATGCAGGGTACCCTTAGCGCCTCAGGACTTGGAAATTACCCACACAACCCCCCCCCTATAATTAGAAGAACAGATGCATAAAATTTACACCTAGCTCCATGCAAATCAGAGAAGGGATCCATTACTTTGGTTGACTCTCTTTCCCTAGTGAGTTTCCTTCATTATCTTATTAGAGAAGCAAAAGACTGAGAAATCTCAGGTAACGTAGAATGCATATTAATTTTTATGGTATTTCTAGAGGTGGTAGCTGGCCCCAGACACTCCTCTGCCCAGCCAGGACACTGCAAACCCATCTCCATGGAAATCCCTTGCCTGTGCAGTACTGGGGTGCTGAACTGGCCCTCACAGTGCTGGCAGTACCAAGAAAACAGTGAGGAGTTGAGAACCCCTCAACACCAGCATCCAACTCAGCTCTTCTGTCAGTACCAATCACCTTTACCTCACTAAACCAGGATGGCAGCCATTTAGAAAGCTTAAATATTTAATTTAGGAACAATAGTAGGTCATTTAAATAATTAAATTCAAAGGCACACTGAGACAAGCCCACAAGACCAGAAGGGTTTCATTCTGTCTGACATCACTGTACACTTTCACTACAGGATCACCTGCAGTTGTTAGCTCAAGTCACTTCTCCCCACACTTACACACACAAAAATACACTCAGACTCAAATAACTAGCAGTCAACAAATGGGTTTGGTATGAACATTGTTGATGCCAGTTTAAAAGTTTTACATTAACATACACTACTTATGTATCTTAACTATTTCAATATGCCTAGTTATTATTTGTTAAAGAAATACTATCAAGTAAGTAAATAATATTTAGGATCATGATCACATAGCTTTTGTGAAGCAAAACGCCCCAGGTTACACTGGCTGTGCAGAATTTTGAACCTCTGGTGTGACATGGGCACAGAGCTGTCACTTTAGCTACCTGCAGCCTGAAGGAAAGCTTTTGTGCCCCCATTTGAAAGATTGGCTTTTGGATCAAATGTCACAACAAAAGCACAACAGTGAGGCAAAGCCTTGACCTCCAAAGCTAAGTTATCTAATGCCTTAAGAGATACTGCACCTTTGATAAAATCCTACATTAATCTAATGTTCTTGCATAAACTTGATTTTATAAGCTAAAAATATTAACTTTCAGTAGTCAAAACAGTGTTGTTGGCAGTCTTGATCTTGTTTACTGCATTTACACCTGTTTGATTAGGGAAATAGACCTCTAGCATCTATGCTGGTTCTTTTATTTTCCACCTTGCTGTAAAGCTGTCAGGACTCCCAGGAGGCCTCTCTGGGGCTCCAGGTTGCTCAGATGTGCACCAAGCTCAGCATTTCCCTGCCTGCTGGGGGCAGGGGCTCTCTGTTCCAGCGAGTGCAACCCCATGTCCTGCCCCTGGAAATGTGCAGACTGCAATCAATGGAGAGGGGAAGGGGGCTGCTTCTTTCCCTGCTGCTATGGACAGCTCATGAGCACTGCACCCCAAGCAGCAGTCCTGTCCCCAGACACTTGGCAAAGCTGTCTCAAGAATTGTTTCTATGCTCTTCCCCCAAGGAATAACCCTTTGTCCTATCAGCTTGTTAGCAATTGGATATTTGACTTTATATTCAGTTAAGTTCTCAGAGAAAGAACAAGCGATGAAAGTGCCTTTTGGAGGAACATCAAATGCATTTCTTGATGAATTGCAAACTGGTAAACTACTTGGAAGCTTTTGAAATGTGAAATATATTATGCCTTTCAATAAAACAATTCTGTAACATGCTGTACTTTTTTTGCCCTCCAAAGATGGCAAATATAAAAGATCACTTGTTACTGACTGGAGCTTGAGTTTCTCAGTGGGTGTTTGTGTTTTTAATTCTATTTCATATAGGATCTCAAGCCACCAATTAAACACAGCCCAACAAACTCATCAGTGCACATCCAAGTAACTGCTAATAAACTGTTTTCTCTCTGAGATTAGTACCTGGACCCATTTTCCTGGGATCCCTCAACAAAGGGATCACTCATCCTGCAGTCCATTCCTTAGTGCAGGTGAGCTCACATCTTCCAGGAATCAGCCACAGCCCTGGTGGCAACTGCAGTGCACTCCCTGGACTATAAATACTTGGTAAAATTAAAATATTGTTTGCTATCACCTTTAAATAAACATAAATATGTCTAAGCCTAGTTTAGCTGGAAGATGTAACCTTATCAAGACTAAATGGCTATCAAAAAATTATGAGCAATTTTCTGCAGTAGATAAATTATACTTTGTCACTTTTCAGTTTCTGTTGTGAATAAAATTCAGCCTGATATGGAGACAAACTAGGTAAAATATTAGAACCTCAGCTCTAACAACTCCTCCCTAGAGGATAATGACAAATGTTCTTAACCTTATACTCAACAAGGTCTTTACACAGAATTAGAAGATTTTTTCCAAAGCACCTACAAAATTAACCACATCCTAATGTTGGCTTCTCCAGCATGAAGTGTAAAAAAAACCCCCCAAACATAATTTGACTTTCCCTGAAGTGCCTGTGACTTTACTGAAGAATGGGAAAAGATGTCCAATCCTTGGAACATATTTCTGAAACTGCTTTCCTAAAAGACCTTTTTTTTTATCATGCAAGAAGCACACTTGAAATCCATTTTCTCATTTACTGTGCTCTGACATGGCTTGGGAAGGGATGTTTTAAAACTTCTTTTTATTTCTTTTTAAAGGCCATTAACTTAAAACTGAATAAACACAGGAACTGATAAACTGTTCCTGATAGGGGCATTACCCACTGAGTTGTAGAGCTCCCCTGTGCTCTCCATGCATTATTGACCTTAGTTCTGCTCTTCAGAGAAACTTGAGTCAAGACAAATTTCAGTCATAATCTCTCCCAGATTTGGCTGCTTTCAGGCTTGTGTGCCAAGCATTAATCTTCCCAGGTAGCATTCCCATTTTCCCTAAACATATGGCTGGACTGCATACCAGCAGGAAAGAACATTTCAAGTGTGTCCCTAAACTGCTGGTTTTGAAGAAGGTGAGGTTTCCACGTGCATTGGCACCAATAGCAATAACCATCCTTGTGCACAGAAAACTATGAGGAGTTTGCTGTACAAACCTTTCTTCTGACCAGGTCAAGTACTTTCAATTCACATTTGAAATCCCCCATCCAGAGGTTCCAAACTGCAATGGCCATAGGTTGCAAAAAAAATGTATAATGCAGGCAAGGCTTATAGGTCTCTGGAGAAGTTCCCCCAACACATTATGGCTCAAAGGAAAAGAAATTATATACATTTGGGTAAGCCTCAAACAATAAAAGGGATAAAGTCATAACAAAATCAAGTCATTTTGCAGCTAATTGTGTGAGAATATTGCCCAGAAGAATGGTGTTCTGAACGCAGCTACTTTATGGTCAACATTAACATCATCAAACAGCATTTTAATTTTTATTCTGCTTGTATACCCAAACAGTCAAGTAAAAATGGTAGAAAAATCAAAGCACCTGTAATATTGTTGGGGATTTTTTTTGTGTATGCGCAGATTTATATCTTTTTCTCCTCAAAGTACCGTAAATTATTTGCCATGAGCTAGAGAAGACACACATCCATCTATAGACCCTAAGTAGAATCCAGAGATTAAATCACTACAAGATTTTCTCTTTGAAGTGGCTGGGTTGTGATTCCCCTGGAGACTCCAGAGAAGGTTTTTAGCTCAAACAAAGAGGCACAGAATGTCACCATGTCATTTTTGCAACACTTGATCTAAAGTGTCCTAGATCAACCAGACAGTTATGGGAGGATTGGGCAAACAACCAAACAAAACCTGAAAAAATGCCACAAGTCATATGCTAAGGCAGGACAAACCAATTAAGACCTTTTGAAAGCAATTTCAGTTTACACCAATAAAACTTGTAGAGTCCACAAAATCACAGAGCACAAGGAATCTTCGGAAGAGGACTCAGTTCTCACTTTTTCTGATGACCAGGGAGAAAAAGAGGAGGAATATTGTGGCAATGTGCACTAGGAAAGAGATGAAAATACATGTTCATTGACATAAACTTGCTACTCAATCTTACTCTGAATTGC